TCAGACTGTCTACATCATGACTGCCGAGCCAGAGACGCTTCACGTCACTTCTGCCGAGCCAGAGACGCTTCCACGTTACCCTGCCGAACCTGAGCTCCACGTCAGCCCTGCTGAGCCTGAGACTGTTCATGTCACTTCTGCCCCGTCAGAGACTGTTCACGTCACTTCTGCCCTGTCAGAGACTGTTCACGTCACTCCTGCCGAGTCAGAGACTGTTCACGTCACTTCTGCCCTGTCAGAGACTGTTCACGTCACTTCTGCCCTGTCAGAGACTGTTCACGTCACTTCTGCCTTTCAGAGACTGTTCACGTCACTTCTGCCGATCCAGAGACTATTCACGTCACTTCTACAGATCCAGTGTCTCCGGACAAGATGGTCAAGCCAGTGTCTCCGGACAAGATGGCCGAGCCAGTGTCTCCGGACAAGATGGCCGAGCCAGTGTCTCTGGACAAGATGGCCGAGCCAGTGTCTCCGGACAAGATGGCCACGGCCGAGCCAGTGTCTCCGGACAAGATGGCCACGGCCGAGCCAGTGTCTCCGGACATGATGGCCACGGCCGAGCCAATGTCTCCGGACAAGATGGCCACTGTCCCGCTGTGCGTTTGTCTCCCGTGAGCCTGTCTCATTTCCTCCTCCTCTATGGTGTCTTATCTGCGTGCCGGTCTGCATTGGTAGCGCGCACGTGACTGTGCGCGACTTGGCACACTTGCATCCAGGTGAATTAAATTAGGGTAATCAGAAGCTCACGCTCAGTTCAATGAGCGGGAGCACATTTACACGATGCAGTCATTTGGCTGTAATACAATGGACTGAGAGGACGGCAGAAGCATTATGCATCCATGGTGAGGAATGAGACTTTTGATTGTGACGGGCTATCGGTAAGCTCATATGGACTGTCGTTTGGATCTTTGTCTGTTCAGGTGCAGAAATGTATTTAATAAGCTAAGTGTGTTAATGTGGGTGTGAGTTAAAGGGGTCATGAACTGGCTTTTTAAATGTTATTATATTGTTGTCTGAGGTCAACTTATAACGTTCGCTTGGTTTTTGCATTCAAAAACATCAAAATGAACAAGTAATAGGCTATGTTGTACCCTGGTTGTGAGCCTACCTAAAAAACAGTCGGTTTTTATGGGCGTGTCGCACTGAAGACTTGGAAGTAAACACCCACTGCTGCGAGTGGAGAACAGTTTTGCATATTATAATGAGTTTAACTCACCCGTCGGTGCACATGGGGGAAAACGTCCAATGTTGTAAAATGGCAACCGGATTCGCCCATACATGTTCAACCCAGAGTCCGTGTGTTGGACAATATTGAGATGGGTCTGTCTGCGGACTGGAACAGAGGGGGCGTAACTTGAAGTCTTGCAGGATGCAGACAGACTCTATTGACAATATTCCTGTCAGATCCTATATAGACGGCACAGCACCGTTCTTTACTCTTAATCGGTCTGCAAATCCAGTCTTGTTGACAAAACAATCCTCAGTGAAATGAAGCGAACAGACGACGATGTTTTACCTCATCAGCTGGAACGTCATTAAAAATAAAGTTTATCCATGCAGTCCTATTGGAATCCACAGGAAGCTTATGCAGCGACTGTCTTGCACAACCAGGCACTGCACAATATTCTGTATTGCTCGGTAGCGATCCAGTTTGTCATCACGAGGTAAGCATGTACATGTATGATACTTATGTGTGTAATACGCGAATCGGTGGGCGGGGCTAAACCTGCCGTGGTGAAGCAGGCGTTGATCATCTTCTGTGTGGGTGGTGTTTTATCCTCTTTGTCGTCATAGTTCCCCACTTTTAAAAACGAGTCGTTTTTAGAGGCTGTGTCAATAAAAGCTTTTATTGGACTAACAAGGACGTTTTCAGTCCTGAAACTTACAGGATATTCTTATAATATGATGACCTCTTAGATGTCAAAAGCTCAAGGAAAATTAAGCCAGTGTCTCCAGACAAGATGGCCGAGCCAGTGTCTCCGGACAAGATGGCCGAGCCAGTGTCTCCGGACAAGATGGCCGAGCCAGTGTCTCCGGACAAGATGGCCGAGCCAGTGTCTCCGGACAAGATGGCCGAGCCAGTGTCTCCGGACGAGATGGCCGAGCCATTGTCTCCGGACAAGATGGCAGAGCCAGTGTCTCCGGACGAGATGGCCGAGCCAGTGTCTCCAGACAAGATGGCCGAGCCAGTGTCTTCAGACAAGATGGCCGAGCCAGTGTCTCCAGACAAGATGGCAGAGCCAGTGTCTCCGGACGAGATGGCTGAGCCATTGTCTCCGACAAAATGGCCACTGCCGAGCCAGTGTCTCCGGATAAGATGGCCATTCCGGTGTCTGTTCCTAAGCCGGTGTCTGTTCCTGTTCCCGAGCCAGCGCGTGTGTTGTCTGTTCCCGAGCCAGCATCTGTTCCTGTGTTTGAGTCTGTCCTTGTGGCCTAGAATGATAGTTTATCTAGAATGATAAATTATATAGATCAGTGGTCCAGACATTAGTATAATATCAGTATACACATTCGTTTTATATTCACGGGCATGACCATACTGAAAGCGACTTTAAAACTTTTACAGACATCTTAAAGAAAAACCACAAAGAAACCTTTCTTTAGGGTGAATTTCATTTTTTCACCAAGTGTATCTTAATTTCAATCAATGTTTCATCAACCAATTGCCTTGTTATAATAAATAAGACGTATATAGTAAACAATAGATGATCATGACGGAGGCGACAGCGTGCAAACTGGACTTTGGTCTCATGAATAAAACCTCAAATGCCTAACCTCAAACAGAAATATATAGCTATCTATAGCCAAACCAGAAATATATAGCTAGACTATGCATCTTTGAAAGCAGAGGTAGACAGGAGTCAAAGGGTTAACCAGCCTAACCTTATAGTAGCCTACTGTTATTCTGCAGCAGTCGGAGTGATCGAAACTGTCGGATGTTCATTGCTGAATTAGGAGATCGTGCAGTCATGCATCAGCTATCCTTTGAAAGTTATGAAGCAAAGAAAAACGTTCATTTTGTTTTTATCTGTGATGTAATAAAAAATAATGTGATCAGATCACATTTGATGAATGTTTTTTTTTCCAATTTAGTTTAGCGATGTGGGTATGACACAATCTAAAACACATGGCAAAAAAGCATAGACCAGACTCGAACCGGAAGTTGACAACCGAAGTCGTCGTCATGGCAGCGCGCATTGTTTAGAGCAGAAAAAGGTGGATAGCGCTTACAATAACCACTATTTGGGGCATGATTTTCATAGAAGCCATTGGTGGTTGAGAAAAGTAACCATTTAAGTTATTTACAGTCAAGATCTAGTCAGTTTTTATAACAGAACAATCATTAATCTAGAAAACCAACCATCCACTGGGTGTCTTACTCAGGGGCTGTGTCCGAAATCTCCCACTTCTCACTATATAGTGGACTATATAGTGAGCTCGCCATTTTGTAGTGCTGTCCGAATGTATAGTAATGATTATTATACCCTATATAGTGCACTCAATGTATCCCTACATAGGGGGTAGGGAGCAGTGGTGGAGATTTCGAACACAGCCAGGGTGTCCTAAAACCAGTGTCTGATGTCGATGGTTCCACACTCGTTGATGGCGCTGCTGAGATGGATGACGAAGATGCTGCTGAGAGGGATCACATTAGCCACTTTCCGACCAAGTAGTTACAGGAACTTAGTTATAGGAACTGTCCACTTCTAAACAGTTCTAAGAACTACTCTCCCCCAAACTCGGTTTTGCTGCTTGCGTTCGCACTGGCCAAGTGGCCATAGGAACCGGTAGGAGGGTTAACGCAAGCACGGCGACGGTCTTGCGGCCACATACAACAACAACAAACCAGCATGGAGGAGGCTATTGCAATGTTCCTATTCTGCCTTGCCGGGACCTTAATAACGGAGAATGAACGGCGGCGTTTAAAGATTATGCTTGAGTTCTGTACAGAGAAACACAGAAGACGAATGCTCCAGCGTAATATGATAATAAGTAATATGATGGAAGAAGATAAAAGAGCTGAGCGCAGTAGGCAAACAAAACGACGGGTAAGTTTAGCTAGCATTAGCAATTGGCTGGTTGAATGCGTTTGTCTTAATCCTCGTTGTAATGTTTTGCAAAAACACACAGCGTATGGCAGACAGCGCGCTACAAGTTCCGTGTTGACAGTGGGCATGGCTTATAAGTTGAACCAATCAACGTAGATCTAGGGAAAGGGAAGTAAAAAAGTCCTCGCTCTAGACTAGGTACTGAAAGAGTTATAGGAACTACGGTCTGAGGAACTAAAAAATCCCCAATTTAGTCCGGTCGGAACGCGAGAAAAAAAGGGTTATAGGAACGTTAGGTTCTAGGAACTGCAAAAGTCCCTCCGGTCGGAAAGCGGCTAATGATGCACTGAAGCTACAACGGACCGCCTTCCTCATTTCTATGTTACACATGGAAATGTAAAAGTAAATTAAACAATCTAAAAGTAAATATATGTGGAAATAAATAAATCTATAAATAAATTAATGCATAAATAAGTTAATATAAACAATAAACATAAGAATAAATCTATAAATATAAAAATAAATCAATAAATAATTAATTTAAATAAAGTTAAAACGATTTTTTAATTTATTTAAAAATTTATAAAAAACACAAAAATTTGATTAAAAACGAATAATTTATTATATCAAGTCGTTTATTTCTTTATTTATTTTTCTATTATCATTTTTTTCATCCATTTTTCACATGTATTTAAACATTTATCACATTTATTTATCCATTACATTTATTTTTCCATTTATTCATTTTTAATTTCTGCAGGAAATTTTCTTGGTCCTCCATACTATGGAAGCACTTTGACAGAGGTGCGGACAGGGGAGGCTGACGTTTGACAGACACTTTTCAACTACAAGGGTGGAGCACTGCGCTTTAGCCAATAACAGACAGATCTGAGGCACTTCAGCCAATAAAAGACAGATCTGAAGCGCTTTAGCCAATAACAGACAGATCTGGAGCACTTCAGCCAATAACAGACAGATCTGAAGCACTTCAGCCAATAACAGACAGATCTGAAGCACTTCAGCCAATAACAGACAGGTCTGACTTGGGTGCAAAACCAATCAAAACTTTCTGTTCGGCTAGGGGGCGGGACGTTCAAACCGCGCGTTGTTGACATTCAATCACTGGCGCTCGTGTTTTGTCTCAGTATCGCGAACGTTTCAATATTTCAGTGAATGTAAGTGAGCTATGCTAATATTCTGATTTTAAACGTGAATAGCAACACCTGAAATACGTAATCCCATTGATAATACCAGAGCACTGAGCAGTTAAAGGAAATAAAAACTCGGCTCATAACATGGACGGAGTTTTTGCACTGACGGAGGAAGAACAATGTAAGTGTCTAAAACGCATTCACAGCTCAGTTAAATGATAAAGCTTGCCCTCTTTAACAATACAGTTAAACTGCAGTAAATGTATGAAGCAAATGTTGTACAAAGCTGAAAAAAACTCAACAACAGTGAAATACGATTGCATGATTTATCTGTCAATCAGAGGCATGTAAAAGTGTAGTTCGTTACCATAGTAGCAGGTCTCCCAGAACATTATCGGTATCAGTATTTAACTAATGAACGGAAAAGAGTAATGTTAATCCGTACCTCACTTACTTTTTTGTTTGTTTGATTGTTTGTTTGTTTTTTTACTGGCAATTTTTTATACATAGTAGGTATGTGGACAAAAAATTAAAACTCAACAAATAGACAAATGGATAGCATATGTGGAAAGACCTGGGTACCCCCTTTAAAAAATAAATAAAAAGTAAATATGTCAAGTATGATGAAAGTTACAACATTTATTGTCTCATTTCTAAGGTGAAAACAATAGAATTTAGTGTGAGCGAAAACAAGTCGTTTTTTTAACTTTTTCAATATTCAAGATATCTTAATGAAATTTTCTGTGGAGATGGGTTTCATATAGTTATTTGGATCTAACGTGCCGTAATTTAACACACATAAAGACTGATTTGGCCTATCTTTTATTGTATTTTTCTGACAAGCAGTTGTTGAATATACAAATAATTGAATGGAAAACAACGATCCAAGGAAAATGATGTATCCTTAATTTAAAAGATGGATTTTGGTTGATTCATGCTATTTCCAGTTGTGTAAGAATATACTAACAAAACTAACACTGGTGGAGGAAATAAAGTGGAGGAGACCACACATGTTGATTGTAGCCTACACGACGCCCTGCATTTTGACAGCTCTTCTACAGGTAACGTTCAATGTCGGTCATCATAAAAAAAAGTGGGGGAGTTTAAATGGCCACGAAATTTTGTACAGCACACCACAAACATGTGACTAGAAAAAAATGTAAAACAAATGTGCAGTCGAAAACCCTAATGATGTGATTGGCTAAAAATAATCAAGGATTCCCACAGCAAGTCAATAAAAACAGCGCATTTGAGGAGACCCGCTCAGAGTTATTCAGTAAAATCCGGCACAGAGATTTGGAACACAATGGCGGCCGCTATTTATTGATATGTCCACATACTGTACCTATACATAGGTGACTGAGCACATGCTTTTTACTCAAATATAATACACTTATGCTATATTGCTTGTATGTTTTGAAGACACTCGTAATGAATTTGTAATGTCCTTGTAACACAAATAAAGTGCACCTTAATTTATCTAATCAACCATGTAATTAGTCCCTACAGGCATTTACTTATAGTATATATTACTTAAAGTATACTTTTTACATAAGAGTAAGTATACTCCAAGTTGTTTCAATTTAGCTCACAAATGTACATTAAATAGCTACACTTAAAGTTGTGCTCTACAACAATTTTATTACAACTAAAATATACTTAGTAAAAAAATAGTTGTTCTAAAATAGCACACTTCAAGTTAACTAATTATTAACTTATCACTTAAATTTTTCTGGCAGTAAGTACTTAGCATTTTTTGTCCCCATGGGTAGAGCAGTTTTACTGGCTTTTATCATGTATCCTGACTCAAATAATGTGCTGAATGGCTTGTTGAATGACTGTTGATAGTCTGAGACTCATCAACATTAACAGATGTGCTGAAAACTTTTTATTTCATGACAATAGTTCCTGTTTTCACCTCATTTATTATGCTGATGTCTTCAGATCTCCTGTAAATTGTCACTTAAATCTCATTTCATTGGTGTCATCAGACTGTCGTGATTTGTTGCTTAGCATCTTGTTTGTCTTTTATGCTTTTAAATGTTTTTCTTACAGTTCTTTACTACTTTTCTAGATATATGCCATTATTTTTTTTTTAAGAAATCAAATAATGTTAGAATTAGAAATAACAATTGCTTTACGATAGACAGGCATATATATATATATATATATGTCTGTCTATCGTAAAGAGAGTTTTATTTCTAATTCTAACATTATTATATATTTATCTGTGTGTGTGTGTGTGTGTGTGTGTGTGTGTGTGTGTGTGTGTGTGTGTGTGCTTAAATGTGCAGAGTAGTTTGATTTTATTATAGTGCAGCTCCAACATACTTATTAATTTTCAGTGTAATACTTTTGCCACTATCTTTCAAACCACTTTTTTGAAGTTTTTTATAATTTAAATATAATTACATATAGTATAATCTCTTATTCTTTTATAAGTTTTTAAAAAAAGTAATTATACTTAAAGAATAATTGTTATGTAATGCTGAATGAATCCAACATTATTTCACCTATTTTTCTGGCATTTTGTTTTCACTAAAGTTGTTTCAATCATTAAACTTGCATTTACTGGGTTTTCTATGTATATAAATAAATAAATTTAATATCACTCTAAAATTAAACTTCTGGCCTTTGACCCTATTAAAACAAACTCAGTTAGTGATATATAATTTTGATTTTGGCACATCAGCTCCTCCCACAGCAATTACATCATCAGTGAAGCTCCTCCCATTGTAATTCCCCTATAAATGCTGTAAATTCCCATCAGCTGCAAGTGAAGACGATCATCAGAGCATCAGGAAGAGCTGAAATCTGCAGACTGAGTTTATTAAAGAGGACAGTGAGAACATGAGTGATCTAGAACCCTGCAGAATGAAACACACTGAAGATCCTGAAGAACAAAGAGGTTCGTGTTTATTCTTCATTCATTCATGATGCTGGAGAACATTCATGTTCACGTATCTCAGAAGATTAAAGTATCTGAGGTTATTTCAGCTTTAATATTCACAGGCACTAGTCCGTATCTATATCTGATAGTTTGTACATCCCTATTTTTGATTAATTCATAATAATAATCGAATGTAAAGAGTTTTATCTCTAAAAACTGTTTAGCGTATAATGCTAGTACTGGGGGCATTTACTAAGTAAAAAGAAATCGCTAGTTTATACCACTAACAAGGCTCAAAATAGCCCCACACCAACACAGTAACATAATGAGGGTCCATACATGCAAAACGAAGCATTGAGAACTTTGTAAGTGTACAGACCATTTAATAAGAAGATACTTTATCAGTTCACTTCGCGTATACAGACAGGAGCCGTCTTAGAAAATAGTCTCAATAAGTCGATCCCCGAACGCCGTTCATACAGTTCAGAAGTTCGCTGAACTTCATACAGTTCAGATCACTCAGCACGTCGTTCGGGGATCGACTTATCGAGACTGTTTTCCAAAGATGGCGCCACCTGTATACACAGAGTGAACTGTCTTCATCAAGGTTGGCTCTAGACAAAATTAACAAAATTAATTAGGAAATTTAAATCAAGACACCGATCTGTTTTCTACATGATCGCATCCAGGTAGTAGCCTATGCATTTCCGTGTCGAAGGCATCGCTAGCTAGCAAACTGTAGACTGTAGTAGGCTTGCTACAGTAGTCGGTGTTACCGGTGTTCAGTCGCAACACCGGTTTCATGACATCACCACCGCGGTTGGCATGTGAAAAAAAAAATTTAAAGCATTAAAAATATTGAACGTAATTACATAGTAGTCGTTAAATCCTGCCTATTAACACACACACACACGACCCACAGAAAAGACGCGCATTGGTATCGAGTTCTCTTTCAGGCTTGAACAAACCATAACACACAAATTATGCCAAAATGTCCATGAGCAGTATTAAACGAACGTAGAGATTTGTGTGAAAATGTGACGCGTGTCAGATCGCGTCTCTGTCAGCAACGGTTGTCCGAATTTGCTCACTCGTTTTTACTTACTCCTTCTCATTCACTCCTTCAAGTGAACAGTATTAGTGGACTAATGTAGGGAATGAGGGTTTAGGGGGCGATTTCGGATTCAACCCATTTTCTTAAGCAGTGAAAAATAGAGGACATTGACAACGCGTTGACAGACAGGACCGAGCAGGTAATATTTAATATGAATCAGTCTTCTTTCTTTCAGTCTACTTTCAAATTTGGTCAGTCAAAGAAAATCAAACAATAAATAGGCCTACCGTTTTGTGGCTCTTTAATGTGTTGTGACTCGTGCCTGATAAAGCCAAGTTCCACCGACGTTATTCTATAACTCTCCTGACTGCTTTGTTGGACAAAAATGGTGGATTTTCAGATGGTTATGTATGCCCGTGAAAACGTGCGCATTTTACGTTTGCCTTTAAATTAGCGATTTAAAAGCCCCCTCCGGTGACACCGGTATTACCGGTGTTGTCACACGTCGATTAACCGGTGAGAAAATATCCTCACCGTCACAACACTAGACTGTAGTAACTAATAGTACTGACAGTAACTCGCGATTGAGCGGCGAATGCGAATGTGCTCTATTGTTAGGGGAGAGATCAGCCTCAATGGCCTGGCCTCAGTGTGTCATCAAGTAGGGGCGTGTCCACGAGCTCATGGGCTCCAGTGCGTGTATCGAGCCCTGTTTTAGCCCCGCCCCCCAAAAAAAACGTAAAATAGCAAAGGTGGAAAACTGTTTAACGGTCTAACTCTATATTTCAGTACTTCACAGTTCGCTGTCTTTGTAATATGTTTTAGCATTTATAACATTTATAATGTGTTTAGAATTTTTTTGTAGAATTGCCTTTACAGGGACTTTAAATTATGATATAAATGACCAATAATTGGCGTTCCACTTGTGTTTCTGATGTCCCACGTTCACATGCGAATGAATGGGAGTCATTGGGAATTAAAGTTCTAGTGTGACTGGACTGTAATAATTAAAAGGTTTTAAGTGAAATAAATTAAATATCAATCTAAACATTGGTATCAACATTACAACACTATTGTATATGCTATAATGCAAATATTACATTGGATAATTGTGTCATTTGATCAAATGCATTTAACAGTTCTTACGAAAACATGGGATTTGTTTCTATAACATTTTAAAAATAATTATTAAAAGATCAGTGTACCTCATTTATGGAAATGACTATTTGTTATCCTTTAACTTCATATTACTTTTGTTAACCTTTTTTTTGTACTGACAATCAAAATTCTTTCATGTCAGACCCGATGGAGGAGAGCGAGGAGAGAGAAGAACTGAGTGAAGTGGAGGAAGAAGGAAAACCCTCTAGTTGCTCAAAGACTAAAAATACATTTTTGAAGAAAAGAAGAGCAAAAAAATCTTTCACCTGCACTCAGTGTAGAAAGAGTTTCACAAACAAACATAGTTTTGAGATTTACATGAGGATCCACACTGGAGAGAAGCCATACAAGTGTTCACACTGTGACAATAGATTCAATCAGTCAGCAGAAGTGACAACACAAGAGAGGATCCACACTGGAGAAAAACCTTACAAGTGTTCACACTGTGACAAAAGATTCAATCAGTCAATACATCTGAAAGCACATGAGAGGATCCACACTGGAGAAAAACCTTACAAGTGTTCACACTGTGACAAAAGATTCAATCAGTCATCATATCTGAAAACACATGAGAAGATCCACACTGGAGAAAAACCTTACAAGTGTTCACACTGCGACAAGAGATTCAATCAGTCATCATATCTGAAAACACATGAGAAGATCCACACTGGAGAAAAACCTTACAAGTGTTCACACTGTGACAAGAGATTCAGTCGATTAGGAAGTCTTAAAACACATGAGAAGATCCACACTGGAGAAAAACCTTACAAGTGTTCACACTGTGACAAGAGATTCAGTCAGTCAGCAACTCTGAAAATACATGAGAGGATCCACACTGGAGAAAAACCTTACAAGTGTTCACACTGTGACAAGAGATTCAGTCAGTCAGCAACTCTGAAAACACATGAGATGATCCACACTGGAGAAAAACCTTACAAGTGTTCACACTGTGACAAGGTATTTAGTCGATCAACACATCTGAAAACACATGAGAAGATCCACAGCAGAGAGAAGCCGCACACGTGTGATCAGTGCGGAAAGAGTTTCTCTATTAAAACTCACCTGAAACAACACATGATGATCCATTCAGTGGAGAAACCACATCACAGCAATCACGGTAAGTAGTTCCCCAGCTTACAGACTTTTTTTTTTAATAAGAACGTTCTCCAAATATTCAGAATGTTGGTTCTGGGAACGTAAATTATTTCCAGTTTTCTTGAAGTTAGAGGAATGTATTTTAAAAGGAATAATGCTCCTCAAACGTACTTTCAACAATTTCAATTTAACTTAAAAATTCTACGAACGTTGATTTGTAACATTCCAAGAACATACAAATGTCCAGTTTCCTAAATGTGAAATTGACCTTTCCTCGAACCAGATTTGATTGGTTTAAAATTACTACTGAACTCATCAGTGATCTTGACTTGATCTTTTTATTTCACAAAGTTTCTCTCATTTGAAATGTCACATGATTTAATGTTTCTTTAAAGGGCCTTTTCACACCAAGCACGATAACTATAAAGATATAATTCTAAAAATCGTTCTTTATATCAAAGAATAACAGAGTTCACACCAGAGCTATAACGATAAAGATATGAGGAACGATATCGTTGGGATCACTTTCAGAACGATTTTTTTTTCCAGCTGTCCAACGATAAAACACTGACAACCAATCAGAATCGCGCATTTAAAATGGCAGATGACATTGCAGAGAAGTTAATCGTCGAGGTACAAAAAAATCCTCCACTGTTTGACAAGTCACCTCAAATTACCTCAGGTAGGCTATCCAGCGCTAGTTGACAACATTGCTGAAGTACTAGTCGATGTTTTTATATTGGTCGGCTTGGTAGCATCGCATTTCCTCCTACGCATTTCCGCTTGTACCTTCTCACGCATTTCCACATGTACCATCTCCTCCGACGTCTTCTCTCATTTCTGCCTTTCAGTTTTAGTAATTTCACGTCTTTTTAGTATTAGTAATTTCAGTTTTAGTAATTTCACGTCACGTCTTTTATATCGCGTCTTTTGCGCGCTCAAGTTCGTTATTTTAAATGTAGGCGCGCCGCGCGCTGTATACGTGCCCGTTTTTTCCACTGTCTATGGTTTTTTCCAAGCGCATCCGTATGGAGCGCACCATAGGTCACGTGACAAGAACCAACCGGAGCGCAAACGACCTAGCGCTTTGGAAAAAGGAGAATGCGGCGCGCCTTGCGTTTTTAGGCGCTATATGTGAATGGTGCCTAATACTATTCACAGCGTCACTCACAGCTAAAAGTTTATTTATATGGAAGATGGCAGAAAGTGCAGAGCCCAACTTGACGCGGCAGAGAAAGTGATTTTAACCCTCCAAAATCTAAAAAGCCATGTCTGGAAGTACTTTGGATTTTGGTCGGTAGATTGTAAAATTGTGGAGCCACGAGATAAAGTTTCCATCCCCGGATCCTCAGTGCGCTCTGAACGCGTCTTTTCCTCCGCTGGGAATATAGTAAATAAAAAGAGATCAGCACTGGCCCCTTCAAATGTGGACTGTCTTGTGTTTTTGGCAAATAACCTGTAGACCCGACGGTGACAGTGCGCACTAAAAAGACAATGGAATAAATTGCCGTCAGTTTTTTTTTACTTCCTTTTTTTAATTCAAGCACCAAGAATGTAAGTAGCCTTTTTCATTTTTAATAGCACTTTATTTTCTATGAACTTTAGGGTAAAGGCGTTGTCACATTTCTCGGAATTGTATGACTCATTTTATTTAACTTTAAACAGAAACAGCCTGTAGGCTACTGACTAATTAGATTGGCCTATTGCGTTCGAGAGTGAGGTTTGCAGTCTTGGCCATTACTCCGTTTTACTTTTTTGTGTACGTAATACGTTGTTAAATATGTTTAAAATTAAATAAACTACCTATACAAGTAGTTATGTCTTTTTGTATTAATTTGTCCAGTTATTGACGTAATGCGTTGAAAAAATGCGCAACCAGATATTCGAATAGTTCGAATATACGCATGTTTTTTCGAGGGAATATTCGAACGTCATTTTTGAGCAATTTTGACATCCCTATTACACGCAGGCGCAGAACGCACATTATAGCTGACAGTCGGTTGTAGTTCTCTCGGTGTGTTCAAGTGCAGCTTTTTACCCCGACGAGAGGCAACAACACAGTCGGCTTTCATCAGCGCTAGTGCGTTGGCGTCGGTTTGGTGTACCGGGCTTTAAACATTTATCATAGCTAAATCCTTATTAACTCCTACCTCAACTATGGGAAATATGTTATTTGGTAACTACTTGATTGGTAAACGATTTCTAGAATTTTGATATAAAGTAGACTTGTGTATTTAAACTATGAAAGTTGTCTTATTGAAGTGTTTTTCTAAACTCTTAGATGTTTGAGAGTACACAATCATGTGAAAAGTATGCCGATTACATGCAAGAACCGTAGAACGGGGAGTAGGTCCCGCCCAAGACAATATCTGATTGGCTGACACACTTGGAAGGACAAGTTGGATGGACACACTTATAACCCAATGACAATCAGCTCTGCGTTGCTTTTTGCCTAACTATTGCAGTGACTTTTGATCTTGCTTTGATTTTGTTCGGACATTTTCATCATCCAGCGCGTACACTTACATGCTCGCCATAACTTGCATTAACGGAGATTACAATCGAGCTGCTATTAGCATGATTAGCTGCTATTTAAAAAATGCCGGTTACAAGTTTCTATTCGTCTTGTTGGTCACGGTAACCCCGCCCCCAGCAGCTGATGTAAGCGGTTCTTACTTCTAGACCATCAATGATTTGGTGTTACTTAAGAACCACTTTTACTGGTTCGGAGCTGGTGCTTTGGTGGTCGAAAAACAAAGAACCGATTTGAAACTTGGCTCTGGCTCCGAACCAGCACCAGCTTTGCCTTGGTGGAAAAGGGTTATGCGAGACACTGAGCAAGACACTTAACCCCTAGTTGCTCCAGAGGCATGCGACCTCTGACATATATAGCAATTGTAAGTCGCTTTCGATAAAAGCGTCAGCTAAATGAATAAATGCAAATGTAATGCTGAACTGGTGCAATTCCTATTAAGCAAACGAACTAAGGTTGAATTACTAGTATGTTGATCATGTTACTAGTATCATGGGAATTAAAGTTCTATAGTGTGACTGGACTGTAATAATTAAAAGGTTTTAAGTAAAAATAAATTAAATATCAATCTAAACATTGGTATCAACATTACGACACTATTGTATATGCTATATTGCAAATATTACATTAGATAATTGTGTCATTTGATCAAATGTATAACAGTTCTTACAGAAACATGGGATTTGTGTCTATAACATTTTAAAAATACTTATTAAAAGATCGGTGTACCTCATTTATGGAAATGACTATTTTGAAGCTCTTTTTATGTCCTTTAACTTCATATTACTTTTGTTAACATTTTTTGTACTGACATTCAAAATTCTTTCATGTCAGACCCGGTGGAGGAGAGTGAGGAGAAAGAAGAACTGAGAGAAGTGAAGGAGGAGAGAGAAGAACTGAATGAAGTGAAGGTGGAGAGAGAAGAACTGAATGAAGTGAAGGAGGAGAGAGAAGAACTGAGAGAAGTAAAGGAGGAGAGAGAAGAACTGAGTGAAGTGAAGGAGGAGAGAGAAGAACTGAGAGAAGTGAAGGAGGAGAGAGAAGAACTGAGAGAAGTGAAGGAGGAGAGAGAAGAACTGAGTGAAGTGAAGGAGGAGAGAGAAGAACTGAGTGAAGTGAAGGAGGAGAGAGAAGAACTGATGGAAGTGAAGGAGGAGAGAGAAAAACTGAGAGAAGTGAAGGAGGAGAGAGAAGAACTGATGGAAGTGAAGGAGGAGAGAGAAAAACTGAGAGAAGTGAAGGAGGAGAGAGAAGAACTGAGTGAAGTGAAGGAGGAGAGAGAAGAACTGAATGAAGTGAAGGAGGAGAGAGAAGAACTGAGTGAAGTGAAGGAGGAGAGAGAAGAACTGAATGAAGTGAAGGAGGAGAGAGAAGAACTGAATGAAGTGAAGGAGGAGAGAGAAGAACTGAATGAAGTGAAGGAGGAGAGAGAAGAACTGAGTGAAGTGAAGGAGGAGAGAGAAGAACTGATGGAAGTGAAGGAGGAGAGAGAAGAACTGAGTGAAATGAAGGAGGAGAGAGAAGAACTGAGTGTCAGCTAAATGAATAAATGCAAATGTAATGCTGAACTGGTGAAATTCCTATTAAGCAAACGAACGAAGGTTGAATTACTAGTATTTTGATTCTCTCAGGTTGCAATCAAGAAATAGTGGCTAATGCTAGAAATTTGGGACTCCATTCATACTCCGTTAAATACATTACCTTTTCTGTCACTGTTTGAATGAATGTATGTTTTCGTTAGATTCGTTTATGTTTGTTAGAATATTTTAATAAAGTCTTGGTTGACTTTACATACAATTGTCTTGTGCTGTGTGCTTACAAGTTACTGCCTTAAACTGTAGATTTCGTTACCTGCTCATAATCATTATCATAAATGTTATGATATTATTACCGTAGACCAAGGGAAAATGTTATGTCCAGAATGAATAAAATACCCTAATCTCTAGTTTAGCCCACACAAAGCCAAAAGTATACTTTTCTTTCTTTCTAGTCCATTTTGGAGTGTGCGCCGCCTTGTGAAGGATCTCTTACGCAGGTTTTTGTGCTTTTAATAGCCATTTTTATGATCAAACACGTCCGCAGATCACAGATCGTGCTGATTCTTACGACAATACGTTTAGATGGTGTTACATGCCAACACGGCCCCGGAACATATTGCGCTGTTCGCGGTTGTAACAACTCGTGGCGATTGCTGAATGTTTGGTCGGAAGGTGAATGTTTCGACCATCAACCATCTACAAGGTGCCAATGTGGATCTTATCATTCGCGGAAGTCAACACAGTCTACTCATTATTACGCAGACGAATGTCAGCTTTTTTCATAGAAAATAAAGTTAATACCTTTATCCATTCCAAAGCTATTAATAGATATGACAGGGGTTCGCGCTCTAGAGCGTCAGTCGAATTTTGAAGAGTTAAAGCATGCTTTTAGTGCAGGAAGGCTAGAGGGGATTACTTTTTATTTTTATTACTCTTTGTGTTCTGTTATAGATTAGCACACGGATACATACAGACATCTTGATATAAGCATAAGATGGGCTAACGTACCTTCCAAAGCACGGCGGCTGCATGGCTACAGGAACATCCAGGTCCGGCGATACAGGTAACGTTACAGCCTGCAGTCTCCACATCTCCCGTCTTGGTAACCAAAACTCAGGCGTTATGCACTTAACTGTTAACGGACTGGTTTGGTTGAACATCGGCCTTTAGGTAAATTAAACTGCCCATATCGTGTACAAGTACACAGCCCACTTTGTCGCAATGGAGGTAATGAAACGCCTCTGAGCTTTTCAGGTTATTAATTGCATTCCCATCCACCGCCCTGGAATCAATAAAATAAGAAAAGATCTTGGATGTTGTGATGCTGGGCCATATCGGCATGTTGTCCGCCCATGATGTTACCTTACTTTGAATGTGGAATGGGAATTCGTCGAATGTTGCCATTCCAAAGCCATGTTTACACCACTATAATATTACAAAGATGGACGCCGCCGTCGTCCATCACTCCCTCGAATCAGCTGTTTTTAAGCGATTTCCTTTTTGTTAAAAACCGAGCAAAGAATAACACCGCTCTGCATACGTCATCTCCTTCATCGCTCTGATTGGTTTTAGGTCTACCTGCGACGTCCGTTGGTGACGCCCCTCTGGAAATGATTAGTCTATGACGCTTTGCCAGTGTAACGGAGGCCAGCTAGTAGTTGCTGTGCGAGTAAACCTCACTCCCCTGATCTCAATTGGCGCTCTAGCGACAGACGCTAGAGGATGCAGTCTTTAGCCTCCTTGTTAGAGCGCCCAAATCTCATGCCGGAGACCGGGGTTCGAGGCCCGCTCGGAGCAGGTCGAGTTGGACCTGGATGTAGGGGTTACATTGGTGCCGTGACCCGGATGAGAGTGAGGTTTAGGGGGGTGAGTGTAATGGAGGCCAGCTAGTAGTTGCTGTGCAAGTAAACCTCACTCCCCTGATCTCAATTGGCACTCTGGCGACAGACGCTAGAGGCTGCTGTCTTTAGCCTCCTTGTTAGAGCGCCCAAATCTCATGCCGGAGACCGGGGTTCGAGGCCCGCTCGGATCGGGTCGAGTGGGACCCGGGTGTGGAGGTTACATTGGTGCCGTGACCCGGATGAGAGTGAGGTTTAGGGGGGTGAGTGTAATGGAGGCCAGCTAGTAGTTGCTGTGCGAGTAAACCTCACTCCCCTGATCTCAATAGGCGCTCTAGTGACAGATGCTAGAGGCTGCAGTCTTTAGCTTCCTCTTTAGGGCGCCTGACTCTCATGCCGGAGACCCAGGTTCGAGGCCCGCTTGGAGTGGGTCGAGTGGGACCCGGTGGAGGGGTTACATTGGTGCCGTGACCCGGATGAGAGTGAGGTTAAGGGGGGTGAGTGTAACGGAGGCCAGCTAGTAGTTGCTGTGCGAGTAAACCTCACTCCCCTGATCTCAATAGGCGCTCTGACGCTAGAGGCTGCAGTCTTTAGCCTCGTTGTTAGAACGCCCGACTGTCCTGCTGGAGACCCGGATTCGAGGCCCGCTCGGAGCGGGTCGAGTAGGACCCGGGTGTAGGGGTTACACCAGACCATGTCTCAGTTACAACTGAGAATGGTCTGGTTTTAACCAGGCTAACAGAATGTTGACGTTTCATATAAAATATTAGCAGTCTATTTTGGATTTTTTAAAAATGTATATCATAGGCTTCATGTTATTGTGACAGATAGCAAATTGGGAGTTTAAAAATACAATGGGTAGAATGGGCTCTATGCACGGCGTTATTTCCGGTAAAGCATTAGGGATGCTCGATAACTTCCGCCGATCATAGAGTCCAATGCAATACCGAGAATGTATATTGAATTTTATACTCCATAGTTATACTAATCAAACGTTAGTCACAAAAACAGATAAAACAGACACCCCTCGTTGTGTTTATGCTTCTTTTAAAAATTATATTAAATAAACATAACTATATATAAAAATACATCTAAACGTATGTACGTTTCGTTTCAAAGACGGGAGGACAGCAAATATTGAAGACTCTGCCATAATCCCGTTTTCTCCGGTTTTCCTCCGCTTTAATCTACACAACCGGAAATGGACGAGCATCCTTACGTCAAATGCGGAACTTATGCGTGCATATAGCCCATTACGAACAGTCAAGGATCATCAAGATAAGAAGATGCAAGTGACAAAAGTTTAATAGTCACAGAAAACATTAAGCATCGTCAAACATGATCAATAAAGCTGATCATTTCTTCACATAGAAATCAATTAAATTTAACAAGCTCATGTTGGTGTGCACAAAAACCCAAATGTGTGTTTTACAGCCAGCACAAACTTGACAAGAGGAGAAGTGTGATGATAGATGTAGTGTGTGTGGGTGCTGCGGAGGGCTGTGATGTCACAACTCTGTCATTCAAGGGCTGGACTCCTCTGAAGATGTTGGTCATCAGAACTGAAGGGCTCCCTTTGAAAAAGGTAGTTGTGCTGAAGCGGTTGATCTGTTTGGAGGAATAAATTCAACTGAGTGGCTTTTAGGTTTTAACTGAGCATGTGAAGAATGTTGCCATCCACTCATAGATGAATATGATTTTTTTATGAATTTCTCTACTATAGAGTCACCTTGACTTACCAAGTCCTGACTGACTTTGATGGGATCTTTGAACACAGTCCAAATCACAGCTTCAGTGCAGTCGGGTATGGTAAGAGAGCCTTGGTACCGGTAATACTTAGTCCTGTTCACTCCTTCAAGCAGACTGTCCATTGTTGTTTGATTCATGACGTTTAATGTTGAACTAGCTAATTACACACAAAAAAAACATCAAGAGGGTGTAAAACTACTTGGCCGTCTTCAATTTTGTGCTAATTTGTTGTTTTTATAAGAGAAATGAACAAAATATACCAAATTGTTAATGGTGTGAATTGCAAGATTCATTCTGATAAAAAATGTTACGTGCTTGATGCTAGATGTATGGTTGCATAACATTTAAGTGAGATATAATTGCTACAGCATGTGCAATAAACGGAAAAAAAAAACGATAAAAAAAGAATAAGGTACAGTACCAAGTACAATTTATCAGAAAAAAACGCATTATGAACAAGTTACACAACAATATAAATAAAATAGAATACAAACAAAACAAGTGTCACCAAATTGAAGAGATGATAAAAAACGATTCCCGTAACTGATAACCCAGAAACCACAAAACTAACTCTTGAAATTGTTGAAACAAAACCGAAATCTACCGCGTATTCAACGCTTTACATTAACTACGCTAACTAAAACTAAAAAAATACAAAAAGATCACTCCTAACCTAACTAACAATGAAGGTATGTTTGCAAATCCTGTAAGAACACCAATCGACAGAACTAGAAAGTATATTGCTAACAATATTTTCGTGGAATGTTGCCATTCCAAAGCCATGTTTACACCACTACTCAGCCTGTCAGATCTGTCAACATTGTTGTTCCAAACCCTTTTATGACTTTCGTTTTATCCGTGGAGAACAAAAGAAGGTATTTCTCCATGATTTGTGTCCGAATGCCATTGCTGATTTGTACCCCACGGGTTGCAAAAACAGCTGAAACATCTTCAAAATGTGTTTTAATGTGGATGCACATAAAGGTGAGGAGTGACAAAGTCTTCGTTTCTGGGTAAACAATCAACAACCAACTATTTCTTTACCTGGAGAAGAGATATTTGTCAAAAAGGATGTTAGGATATCCCAACTTTTTGGTTTGTTTTGTTCATTGGTTCCCTGTTGGTTAGGTAAAAACACTTTAGTACTAAGGCATGAATATACTTTTAGATTTGCGCTTCCCTCCCGATATAATAAATGTGCTTTTGCTCACCTCAATAAAGAAACCAAGAACAGCCACTCCTGTGCTGTCTTTAGCAGCAAGAGCAGCGTCCACACTCCCATTGTATTTTGAATGGACATTCACAATGTGCAGCTGAGAAACAGAATCAGATGGATAAAAATAATGCATTTGGGACAATGAAGTGCATGTGCAGGGAAAATATATTCATACCTCCATTGAGTATCGTTTGCCATCCACAGTGTGTTCGGAGCCAGGCGAGGAGCTGCCGTTACCCCAGTGGATATGGAATTGTTTAGTGTTGTATAGACCTGGAAGATCACCTCCTTGCACTGACATTTTATGATCATCAAGGCCGACCACCACTGTGAAGAAAATGGGCATTTTAGAGACAAGATCCAGGACATGTTGTGCTCAGTGGTGAAAGCAAGGTTCCCAGTGCGCAGCGCTGCTTACCAGATTCGCCTGTATTCGTGATTGACTTGAAGGTGGAGTTGTCATCAAAACCAGTGAAGTTAAATGAGCTCAGGCTAGGATTTTCCTGAACACTTGCAGTCACGATATTAATGGGAGATTGCCTGGATCCATTGCAGGATTGTGGATAAGTTTGAGGCCATGTTGAAAAATCTATTACAAAACAGAAGATCTACTTCAGAACAAGTTTTAAACACGTATCATTTTATAATAAGATCCATGTTAACTTTTATGCAGTGGAATATTTTATAATATAATAAACCACACTTACTGCATGATGGCTCGTGATAGCACCATTCTGTTTAGGTGTAAATGAAAGCATTAATACATATAACCAATGAAACACCAGAACTTCCTTAAAAAAGTTTTAAGTGCTTGTTTTAATAGGAGTTTAGATATGCGAGTAAATGAAGTTGAACTTGAGTTACTCACTCTCTGAAGACTCCTCACTGTGGACGGAGGGACACAGAAGAGCAGCAAGGAAAATTACCAGGAAGACAATCATCTAAATCAAACAAGAAATCATTACAATGGTAATCAATGCTGTGAACAGAATAAGTAAATTGAATATAATATGAGAAATGAAATCAATCAGAATACGGTAGTTAAGGTCTTACTGTACCTCTTCGATTGGGTTCACCTGTCGATATTCAGGAAAATGATGAATGGCTTCGTTCTCACCTTATATACTCTTTCCAGCCCTACATTCCGATCCAACTCATGTTATCACATTGCTAAGTGTTTATTCATCATACTTTCCAGTTGACAGCTGTCAGTACTTGAAACATCACATTGGTACCTCAGCATCACTCCTCAGGGCATGTTCTCGAGCACAGTTCATGATTGTTATTTTCCTTTCCAACCTTTAAAATGAGTAAAAATGTTTATTATCTGTCGATTTGGGAAAATAACCTATGATAAATGTTTGTCAATAGCAGTGTGTGCCGCACTCTCATCCCGCTCTGTCGCCAGACCCCTGGCAGAGCAGGCCCCCGTGGAACGCTGGTAGGGTGACCACCTGCTAATAAGCCCAAGGGGGGACATAGGGTATGTTTCTGAGGGACAATGTTGTACACTGTTTGGCATGGCGGTGCCCCCACCTAATGGGCAGACTCACTGGTTTACCCATTTCTAGCACATACCACCTTACATGGCATATTAATAATGCCCTATTCCCTAAACATGTGTAGTTGCTGATATATGCTCATGAATAGGCCAACCAATGTGTATTTTTTTTCTACAGCTAGCAGCCATATCACCCTGGCCTGTAGCCCAAGACTGGTTGCCCACTGAAGCTAAGCAGGGCTGAGCCTGGTTAGTACCTGAATGGGAGACCTTCTGAGAAAGCCAGGTTGCTGCTGGAAGAGGCGTTAGTGAGGCCAGCAGGGGGTGCTCACCCTTACCCCTTTTCCACCAAAAAAAGAACTGGTTCGGAACTGGTGCTGGTTCAAAGTTGGTTCGGAGTTGGTTCAACTTGCGAACCCGTTCAGAACCTGTTTGTTTTTCCACTGACTAGAGCGCCCGGGGAACGACGTCGTTTCGTCACTGTGCACGTCGCTAGAAACGCTTGCAAGTACATTGCTTTGGGATTATCTCTAACTCGTGTACCAAGAAAACGTCTCGGGTTATGACTATAACCCTTGTTCCCTGAGAAGGGAACGAGACACTGCGTCGATAAAATCGACTCTTTGGGGACGCTCCCTAAGCGTGCGCCTCTGAAGTATGAATGAAACTAATCCAATCCTGATTGGTGTTGCGTCGTGACGTAACATGTGACGGCATACCCGGAAGTATAAAAGTGACGCTGTCACAACACACACTAGCCTTGCGATGAAGCAAGACGCTCAAGGGTCTGAAAAGGGGGCGTGGCAACACGACGCAGTGTCTCGTTCCCTTCTCAGGGAACAAGGGTTATAGTCATAACCCGAGACGTTCCCTATCGAGGGAACTCAACACTGCGTCGATAAAATCGACTCTTTGGGGAACGAGTACCCACTAGGCCACGCACCGAACAGACCCGCCCCAGAGTGAAACTGATTAGGCACTCAGCAAGGGCCGAGTACGTGTGCACCGGGCGTACTGGGAAGGCTGAGACTGTAAAACCTGATGAAAGTATGCGGGGTAGCCCAGCCGGCTGCCTCACAAATCTCCTGCAGAGGTACTCCCGACAGAAGGGCCCTAGAGGAAGCCATGCCTCTAGTCGAGTGAGCCCTTAAGGCCAAAGGTGAAGGAACCCCACGCACCTTGTAAGCCTCAGTAATAGCCTGGACAATCCAGTTACTTATAGTTTGTTTGGTCGCCGGGAGCCCCCTCTTAGGTGACCCAAAGCATACTAACAACTGGTCAGATCTTCTCCAAGAAGCAGACTTTTCCAAGTATACACTCAAAGCTCTGACGGGGCAGAGCAAGTGAAGCCTCTCTTCTCCCGCCGACACATGAGGTGGAGGATGGAATGCCTGAAGGACTACAGAGCGAGCCGTACTCGAAGGAACTTTAGGCACGTAGCCCGGACTCGGGTGCAAAAAGGCCTTTACTTTGCCAGGGGCAAACTCCAAGCAAGCTGGCGTTACCGCCAGGGCCTGGAGATCTCCCACCCTCTTAAGAGAGGTAATCGCTAAGAGAAAGACCATTTTCAACGTTAAGTCCTTAGGCGAAGCCGACTCTAAAGGTTCGAAGGGAGCGAGGGACAACCCTTCCAGAACTATTGCCAGATCCCAGGCAGGCACCCTGGACCTGATCGCCGGCCTCATCCTCCAAGCACCACGGAGAAACCTAATGACCAACTGGTGCCTCCCCAGAGGTCCACCATCTACTGGCGCGTGGAAAGCCGAAACGGCAGCCACGTACACCTTAAGAGTGGACGGGGAGAGACCCGCAGAGAAACGATCCTGAAGGAATTCCAGAACTGAAGCCACTGGGCAGTTTACTGGATCCAACCTTCGTTCTCCACACCAAGTGTGAAACACCTTCCACTTGAGGCCATATAATCTCCTGGTAGATGGGGCCCTAGAGCTAAGTATGGTTTCAACCACCTCAGCTGATAAGCCAGCATTTAGGTACTGAACCCCCTCAGAGGCCAGACCACAGCTTCCACAACTCTGGGCGAGGGTGGAAGATTGTGCCCTCCGCCTGAGACAATAGATCCCTCCTCAGAGGAATCGGCCATGGCGGAGCTATGAGGAGTGATATTATATCCGAGAACCATACTCGTGTCGGCCATCTCGGGGCAACCAGAAGTAGACTGATGCCCTCTTGACGGACCCTCTCCAGGACCCCTGGGAGCAGAGCGATCGGGGGGAAAGCATACAGGCGAAGCCTCGGCCAAGCCTGTACCATGGCATCCAACCCCAGTGGGGCTGGATGTGAGAGGGAGAACCAAAGTGGACAGTGGGACGTCTCTCGAGACGCAAACAGATCCACTTCCATCGGTCCGAACCTCTCCCATATCGACTTCACCACATCCGGATGAAGTCTCCATTCCCCGGGCCTCAGCCCCTGCCTCGACAGGATGTCTGCTCCCCGATTCTGAACCCCTGGGATATACATTGCCCTTATTGACAATATCCTTCCCTGGGACCAAAGGATAATCTGATGCGCCAGTTTGCACAGAGGGCGCGATCTGAGTCCCCCCTGTCGGTTCAGATAGGCCACCACTGACGTATTGTCTGTCCGTATAAGGACGTGGCGACCCTCGATGTCTGGGAGGAAGCTCCTCAAAGCCTTGAATACCGCCATCATCTCCAGGCAATTTATATGCCAAGTGCGATGATGGTCCTGCCACAGACCCCTGGTAAAGCGGCCGTCCATGACCGCGCCCCAGCCCGTAAGGGAGGCGTCTGTCGAAACGGTTTCCCGGCGACATGACACCCCCAACACTGGCCCTTGGGATAGGAACCAAGGCTTCTTCCATATTTGCAGAGACTGAAGGCACTTGCGCGTTACTCTTGTAGCCAGGCTTAATAATGAGAAACACTATTTAGCCGTCTGACCCAGTCACAAAAGGGTTAACTTTTATTTCTTCTCTTTGATGGACATGTAAGTGAGCCAATGGGTGAGCTCTGTGAGATAGTGAGCTGACCAATCAGCTGCCCGCTAGGCTCTGTTACAGTTACACCTCTAGTTTCGCGTCACTGCACGTTCTTTTGGCGCTTGCACTTGAGCATAGAAGGCTGCGTTATCTGCTTGGTAAGATGAAAGACAAAAAACATAGAGCAAATTAAGTTCATTATTGCTTATGCTGATTATACCTTGTTGTAATATAGAGTGTAAACGAAAGCTGTGCCTGTATCCACTGTTGTCACGGAGCTAAAGGCAATGGATTCCGTTAAAATGGTGAGTTGTTTATCTAGGCATCGGAGTTCGCTAATATTCATGCTAACAGGCCAGGCTTTAGATGCCCATTTTTTTTGTATTTAACATAGCCTACTGAGTTTACTCTGAGATCGCTAGCATTTCTGTTAATTGTGTTAATGTGTGAATCAATGCAAAGGTGTTCTTTGTGTAAAGCTAAAAGTGTAAAGCCTACAGTGTGTATATGTTAATAAGATAATTAGCCACAATAGGCTAGTGAAATACTGGTTAATGTCTTTGAAATCAATAAGTTTAGTTGTGGGTTATAAAAGAAGAAATGTTAACTTTTCATACTGTTAGTTTGTTAAATAGTGATGTTAAAAAGTGTGGATTTAATTGTGGTCACTGAAGCTTAAAGAGGTAAATTTTTAGTGCATTCTTTCCACTGTTACCGGTGCAGAGGGGGATAAATAAGCACACTAACGCCTTAATGCCTCTAATTTAAAAGTGATGCAATTTGATTAACAAAACTACAGGAATTGCATGTAAACATTAATGTTACTACCGTACGGTTTCATGAATCTTAAATTGTCTTTGTGAAGACATGCAGAGAGGATGCAATTTATGTAAATTTACTTTTGATACTAGAGAGAAATTCACATAGTTTTGATACTTGAAAAAGAAAACAAAATAAAACAAAGAGCTGTTGTACAACAAGAAAGAGATTTTTATATTTTATTAAAGGTGTACTGAAATATTATCTTATTTTATTTTTTTGTTGAAGCCTGTAGCAGTTCATTTACTCACTGAATGGAATTTGAAAGAAATGATTTGGCCTTATTTATAGGTCAGGTTTTGGTAAAGAGTGGGAAACATCGTGCAGAGGTCCTGGAGAGATACAGATCCAGACGTTCCGAACGTTCTTCGAGAGACTCATTGATTCCCAGTCCAGGTGGCTGGGTGGCGAGCCAACCGTGTTTGACAACGAATCAAATCGTTTTAGATGAACTGTCCGGATCATCCTCTTCATCTTCTTTGTGGTAGGACAAGCACTAACTCAACCTAAAAATAAAGGGCCCCAACGTTGAAACTGCATTCTTGTCTACAAAGGCAAGGTGAACCGAGGACAATCTGAGCTCAAAAGTACTGAATAAGAGGGTTTTGTTTTGTTTATGTGCGCACTTTATTATTTTAGTTTGTTATTTTTCATAAATGTGTTTTTTGTATGTATGTTCTACCCTGTGATTTTAATACAGGTTATCTAAACTGTCATTTTGGTGTGGTATTCTTTTATTTGATGTTCAAGTCTCAGGCTCTTAAAAATCTAGCGTCTGCTGATTCTGGTCCACATTGTATCCATAATAACCTCTGTGCTATTTTAGACTATTAAACCTATGTACATTATTTCTACTATCTAGTAATAAGGGTTACATTATTGGCGAGCCAGCCAGGAGCCAGAGACATTGAATATCAATATTGAAAGAATATGCAAAATGGATTTCATACAGAAGTCAGGTGTAAAAATTCCTAATGCAGTGATTGTTAGTGGGGTAACCCAGGTAGCAGATCAGGATGAGCAAGTTGTTGACTTCCTTAAGAAGTACGGTTCCGTCGAAAAAGCCCTTCTCGTTGATGATTCTAATTCCGAATTTTACCAAAACCTGATCATTGAGTTTTCGAGTGGTTCAGCTTTAGTACACTTAGAGCCACTTTTCCCATATACGCACACAGTCGAAGGTGATCCATGTGCTAGATATGTTGTAAGAGCATTAAGCAGTGTGTACACTACGCAGATTGGCGGTAATGTTACAAAAACATATCTAGCTGAGTTAAAGGGCTTAGCCAGGCTAAGTGGCAAAGACTATGGGGAGGTGTTAAATGAGATGATGTCACAGATTGGTGAAGATATTGCAGCTATGAGACCCATAGGTAGAGAAGTCTCCCCTTCACATGTTGAAACCCCTGAAGGTCGACCACCCCTCGTCTCACTTATGGATGCCCCACGGGGAGGCAATTGCCCAAGTACCACTGATTCAGTCCTGTTCACTAATGGAGGCAAAGCTTCGTCCCTTTCAGTGAGTGACATAAACCCAGCAGAAATACAGAAGGTGGTGGTTGAGCATATTGTACGGAGGGAAGATGTTAGCCCACACTTGCAATCTCCAATGAGGCTTCGTTCCTTTTCTGGAAAGATTCCCAGACCGAGTAATGAAGCTGATTACGACACTTGGCGCTCACACATCGAACTGCTTTTGAACGATCCCACCATGTCCCATCTTCAGATTTCACGAAAAATTCTTGAATGTCTACTTTCACCTGCCGCAGATGTGGTCAAAGGGTTGCGGCCTAGTTCACCCCCCATCGCTTATCTGCAGCTTTTGGACTCAGCCTTTGGTACTGTTGAGGATGGGGAAGAACTTTTTGCCCAGTTTATGAACACCCTTCAAGACCCGGGTGAGAAACCATCCACATATCTCCAGCGATTGCAGTTAGCATTGAACCTAGCTGTGAGAAGGGGTGGGGCTGCACCAGCCGATGTAGATAAACACCTACTCAAACAATTTTGTAGAGGATGCTGGGACAATTCTTTACTTTCCTGCCTGCAACTTGAGCAGAAGAAAAGCAACCCCCCTTCATTTGCTGACCTCTTGCTGTTACTGAGAACAGAAGAAGACAGGCAGTTAGCAAAAGCTAGTCGCATGAAGAAACACATGGGCACCACCAGGCAACGTGGCCAGCTTCAGCTCCAAAGTGCATGGGCCTGTGCAGAGCCAAAAGAGAAGTCAGAGGTCAGTCTCAGTGTTATCGAGGATCTTGGGAGGCAAGTAGCCAGTTTACAAAGCCAATTAACCTATTTGATGGCACAGAAAAAGACAAAGGGCGCTGATAACAGGGGAGCAGCGGGGAAAAGTCCAAGCAAAGTACAAAAACCAGACAGTGTTAACACAGACATGCTAAAACAAGCCAATAAAAAGCAGACTTACAGACCTAGGCCTTGGTACTGCTTTAACTGTGGGGAGGATGGGCACATCGCCCCAGTTTGCACAGACAGGGCAAACCCTGCTTTAGTAGCTGAAAAGAAGAAACAGTTAGAGGAGAAGCAGTGCATGTGGGACGCACAAAACAGTCTCAACTTACCTTTAAACGACTAGCAGTTCCTGTTGGGGGACAAACAGGGACTGAAGAGAGTCAACAACGTCCCTCATACGTAACCAGTAAAGACGAGGCTGAAGTTTGTGCTAATCTAAAGCATTCAAGTAAGAATCACCCTTTTAGACTCCCTAAGGGGTTGGTCGGTACAAAGAGTACTGCTAAAGTCAACATAGAAGGTGAAGAAGTCAGCTGCTTACTAGATACGGGTTCCCAAGTAACAACAGTTCCCCGGTCATTTTACGAACAGCACTTTCCAGAGCAGGAGATTAAGCCACTATATAATCTCTTGGAGGTGGAAGGAGCGAATGGACAGTCCGTACCCTACTTGGGTTACATAGAAATGACTATAACCTTTCCAAAAGAGTTCATTGGAGCGTCAATGGATGTAAATACACTCGCTTTGGTTGTTCCTGACATTCAAGCTACTTCACAGTCTCTTGTTCTTATAGGCACCAATACACTGGATGTACTGTATGACATGTACTTTGAAGCCGGATTGACCCGCCATCAACCAATTCCACATGGCTATAAAGCAGTTCTTAAATGTCTTGAGCTCAGACAAAAACAGATCAACAACAGTCAACCCAGTGTAGTAACATTGCAAGGCAGAAGTTCTAAAATCATTCCAGCTGGTGAAACTGTAGTAGTTGAGGGAGTTGCTGTAGCCTATTGCTTGCAGAATGAGAAGTTTGTAGTCATTGAGCAGCCATCTTTACCCTCCTTGCCGGGTGGCTTGCTGGTAACGACTAGCTTAGTCGACATTCCTCAGCAGCGGCCCTATAAGCTACCAGTGGTCATCAGCAATGAGTCTGACCATGATATAGTCATTCCTGCTAAATGTGCGATTGCAGAGATAAGTGCTTACCAGAGCATCTTGTTACAGGAGCACAGTGTAGTAAAACAATCAGAACCCCTCTCAAAGTCACCAGAGGCACAGTCAAACAACAGGCAGGACCTAAACTTCAATTTCGGTGAGTCCCCAATTCCATCTAAGTGGAGAGAACGCATCACTCAGCAGCTCAACAACATGCCCGACGTGTTTGCACAACATGACTTGGATTTTGGCAGAACAGATAAAGTGGCACACAACATAAAACTTTCAGATGAAACTCCTTTTAAACAGCGTGCAAGACCGATACACCCACAAGACATTGAAGCTGTTCGCAAGCACATTCAGGAGCTTCTTGATGCAGGAGTCATCAGAGAGTCAGAGTCACCGTTTTCGTCACCGATAGTGGTGGTCAGGAAAAAGAATGGCCAAGTCCGGTTGTGCATAGACTACAGGCGTCTGAATCTTCAGACCATAAAAGATGCATACTCGCTCCCAAAGCTGGAAGACACATTCTCAGCGCTCAGTGGTTCCCAGTGGTTCTCCGTCCTTGATTTAAAGTCTGGTTATTACCAGATCGAAGTGGAGGAAGCAGACAAACCCAAGACTGCATTCGTGTGTCCACTTGGGTTCTGGGAATTTAACCGAATGCCTCAGGGAGTGACTAATGCACCGAGTACATTCCAACGACTCATGGAAAAGTGCATGGGGGACATGCATTTAAAGGATGTTCTAGTCTTTATTGATGATTTGATTGTGTTCTCAAAGACTCTAGAGGAGCATGAAGCAAGGCTGATGAAGGTGCTCACACGCCTTAGAGAGTTTGGGTTGAAATTATCACCTGAAAAGTGTGTTTTCTTCCAGACGTCAGTCCGTTATCTTGGGCATGTAGTTTCCAGGAATGGAGTCGAGACTGATCCGGAGAAGATTGCTGCTCTTAAGACTTGGCCAGTCCCAAAAAACCTGCGAGAGCTGAGATCTTTTCTTGGATTTGCTGGGTACTACAGGAGGTTTGTTAAGGGCTACTCTAACATCGTTAAGCCCCTCCACAATCTAACCTCTGGTTACCCACCTTCTCACAAGAAATTAAAGTCAGATGAGAAAGCAGGTCAGTACCGAAATCCAAAGGAGGTCTTTGGGAGCCGCTGGACATCCGCTTGCCAGCAGGCATTTGACCAGGTTATTGAGAGCCTTACCTCCGCCCCTGTGTTAGGTTTTGCTGATCCTCAGAAGCCCTATGTACTCCACACCGATGCAAGCACCACTGGACTCGGTGCTGTTTTGTATCAGGAACAGGAGGGTCAGTGTCGAGTCATAGGATATGCAAGCAGAGGATTGTCAAGGAGTGAGAGTCGCTATCCAGCACACAAGTTGGAATTCTTAGCACTCAAGTGGTCAGTGACAGAAAAGTTCAGTGATTATCTCTACGGCCACCACTTCACCGTTGTTACTGACAGCAATCCGCTGACATACATACTGACATCAGCAAAACTTGATGCGACAAGCTATAGGTGGCTGGCAGCACTGTCCACGTTCTCATTCAAACTTCTCTATCGTCCAGGAAAGCAAAATGGCGATGCAGATGGACTGTCGCGCAGGCCTCATGGGGAGCTGGCTGATGATTGTAAATCTCAAAAAGAAAGAGAGCGCATAAGACAGTTTACTCAGAGTCACCTCTCTGATCCAGAAGATATAGATGCAGTAGATCAAGCTGTGGTGCAAGCAATCTGTGAGAGACAGCTCATTTACAGTGTCAGTTATGATGGCAAAGATTCTTCAGGTGGAGTTGCTTTAGTTGAATCTCTGGCTATCTCAGCTACTGCTGTGCCTGACAGTTATGGGCAAGAAGATCACCTTGGTGGGTTGCCGGTTATCCCCCACCTAACTGTGGCAGAGCTTGCGAGTAGACAAAGAGCTGATCAAAGTATAAAGCATGTAATTTCCCAGATCGAGCAGGGAGAAAAACCACCCCCAACCTTGCGACATGAACTCACTGAGCTTCCACTGTTGTTGAGGGAGTTAAATCGCCTTGAACTCCGTAACAACATCTTGTACCGGAGGCGCCAAGTGGGCTCTCAGACCTTTTATCAGTTTGTGCTCCCAGCTGAACTGCGTGACACAGTTTTGACCAGCCTACACAATCACATGGGTCATATGGGGGTTGACCGTACACTGGATCTTGTAAGGACCAGATTCTTTTGGCCAAAGATGGCTCTGGATGTCGAGAGAAAAGTCAAAACATGTGGTAGGTGTGTACGGAGGAAGGCGTTGCCTGAGAGAGCTGCACCTT